AGCGAGGAGATTAGAAAAGCGGTTTTTCACTTGGAGCGAAAAAGGCCCCAGGCCCGGATGGGTTCTCTGGAAGGTTCTATAGAAGATTCTGGGACATTATTGGGGAAACAGTGTGTAGAGAAGTGAAGGAGTTCTTTGAGACAGCCACGATGCCGACTGGATGGAACGATACACATATTGTCATGATTCCTAAAGTTGACCATCCAGAGCTGATGAGCCAGTTTCGGCCCATTAGTTGCTGTAATTTTAGATATAAAATTATATAAAAAATTATGGCTACTCGTCTGAAAGTTTGGACACCTGATATGATTTCGGAGCTACAGACAGCGTTTACCGCAGGAAGACTCATCCAAGACAATATCATTATCGTCCACGAGGCCCTCCACCATTTTAAACACCATAAGAGGGGAAGGAGAAGAGATATGATGCTCAAGTTGGACATGAAGAAGTCTTATGATATGGTGGACTGGGAATGCTTAGAGACGTTACTGATGAATTATGGTTTTGAAGAGAGATGGTGTAAATGGGTCAGCGCATGCATCCGGACTGTCAAGTTCTCCATCCTCTTCAATGGGGAAGCGACAGAAGAGTTCAAGCGGTCAAGGGGAATCAGACAGGGAAACCCTCTTTCACCTTTCCTTTTCATTTTGATGTCTAATGCTCTCACCTTTTTGATTGACAAAGCGGTGTCCCAGAACCAGTTAAAAGGAATTAGGTTAAACGCGAGATGCCCGATTCTCACCCATTTTCTGTTTGCAGATGATACTGTTATCTTTGGAAAGGCAGACCTTCAGGAGGCAGAGAAAATTCTTGACCTCATAAGAGAGTACGGAGCCATCACGGGTCAAGAAGTGAATATTAACAAATCCTCAGTGTTTTTCAGTGCAAATATACCAGATGGTGAGAAAGCTGCAATCATTTCCCAAATCGGTTTTGCAACCTCAAATTGTCACTCAAAATACCTGGGAGTTCCGGCAGAGTGGGGGAATTCAAAAAAGGAAACTTTCCAATTCCTCATTCAGAGAATGGAGAAGATGGGAGAAGCATGGAAGAGTCTCCTCCTTTCTCATGGAGGGAAAGAGGTTTTGCTCAAAGCAGTTATACAAGCTATTCCCTCATACATCATGTACCTCTTCCACCTCCCGGTGAACCTCACCAAGAAGATGGACTCCCTCCTCACCAACTTCTTCTGGTCAGGCTCAATGCAGAAAAGCACCATGCATTGGTGTAGGAAGGAAATTCTATGTGCTCCAAAATCGGAAGGGGGCCTGGGATTCCGAAGCTTCAAGGACTTCAACATGGCCCTGTTGGCAAAACAGGCGTGGAGACTACTGAATTCCACTGAGGCCCTTTGGTGTCGTCTTCTGAAAGGTCTGTACTTCCCGAGAGGAGACTTCCTACAGTCCAAAAAAGGGAGTAGACCCTCTTGGATCTGGGCGAGTCTTTGGGAGGCAAAAAAGTGATCAACATGGGAGCAGTTAAAATCATCGGATCGGGAGAGGATAAATGGGTGGGCCAAGATCCATGGATTCCTAGCTTGCACAACTTTGTCATTAGAAGTGGCCCCCAACAGAACCTGAGGGTCAAGGACTGGATAGATCCTGATTTTAGGAGATGGAACACGGAGTTGATTCAAGGTCATGTGTCAAGAGCAGAGATGGAGGCTATCCTCAAAATTCCTATTGGTGAAGAGGGATCTGAGGACTTTTGGGCTTGGAGCCTCACTAGAGAGGGGGGTTTCTCGGTCAAGATGGCTTACCACGCTGTTCATAAAGCAAACACCAACTTCCACCGACGGGAAGTGAAGAGAGTTGGAAATGGATCTGGGGATTGCATATTCCACCTAAGCTTAAGTTCTTCATCTGGAGATGTTCCAGAAATGGGTTGGCAACGAAAGCTAGGCTTTTCAAAAGGAAATGTGCTAATAACCCGATTTGCCAGGTATGCAATGACCCGGTGGAATCCCTTAACCACTGCCTCTTCTACTGCCCCCATGCCAGGGAGTCATGGAATTCCATTTTCCCATCCATCCCGAACCCTCCCCAGGGTACCTCATTTTTTGACTGGTTCTGCTCCCTCAAAGATACCATCCCTTATAACTCCCTGATTCACATTATCTATCTGTGTTGGAACATTTGGAAGGCAAGAAACGAGAGTACATTCAAGAATAGAGTTCCCTGGCCCCCAAACGTTTGTCTTCAAACCTATAGAGAACTAACAGAATGGATGACTTGCCCGAGGCCCCCGCCTCCTTCTTCTGATGGTCCCACTCAGCTCAGGGGACCCCTTCCCACTATGAATCTCCCGCCAAGTAATCACTCAATGGTGATTCACTGTGATGGGTCGTTCCTTAGCGACTCCCAGACGGCGGCATATGTTGTTGTTGTTGTTGTTAACCACCATGGACAAGTGTGCGATGGGAGAGCTGAGGTTCTTCTTTGTTCCACCCTGATTGAAGCGGAAGCGAAGGCACTTCTGGAAGGTATTAAATTAGCACAAGAATATGGATCAGAATGTACAGTGCAATCTGACTGTCAAAGTCTGGTGAAGGCCCTGAAACATAATCAGTCTCGATGGCCCTGGAGATGCGCAACCTGGATTAGAACAATGGTTGAGATCCTTAGGAATAACCCTGCAATTTCGGTTAAAGAGGTTCCAAGGACGTTGAACGTTAGGGCTGATTGGGTGGCAAGATCGAAAGCTAGATCTACTCTGCCAGCAGACTGGATTAGTATTCTTGACCTAATTTCTGATCTCCTTTAAGTGTAATCGCTGTTTGGCGCGTTTCGTTCTATGGTGGAATAAAAGTTGGAATTATTGGGAAAAAAAATTCAATAGCGACATGAAAGAGAGTAAAAGAGGAAAAGAATCAGAGGGAATACGGAAGTGAGAGATTCTTTTCCTTACCTTTTCTGATGTGTGGATGACGCAAGAAAGTGAGACAATTTTGGGTCCTAAGATTCGCCTTATTACACTAGTTTGGTGACGGACCCGTTGGTCGGAATGTCATTTGAATAGTGTTTTCGATGTACATTCAAAAGTTTTCAAAAAATTTGAAATGTGTAAATCTATCCAATAACTAAATTAATTATTATAAATTCAAGGGCGAAAACCACGGATTAAAAAAAACAGCGGGAGCAACAAAAAAAAGAAAAAAACCATCGCGATCATGTTCTCGTGCCCTTCGGGCTTCCCGCCGACGTGCGGAGACGGGGCCTGGCTCCTCGGAGCAGTATGGCTATAAATTGCCGGCCACTGGGGGTTGGGAGTGTGCAATTCACTTCGATTCTCCTGCTCTCGATTTATTCCTCTTTTGTTCGTGTTTTGTTGACAATGGCAGTGGTGCAGTTCAACGATGACGATCTAGCAGCGGGTTTGGCCCGGGGGGAGCTGTCCTTAATCGGACGGCTGATTGGGTCGCCGCCGCCGCTGTATGCTCTGAGAACGATGCTGGGTCGGGTGTGGCGCTACAAGGGGGACCTCAGCATCTCCGGTGTGGATGAGGGTTTGATCCAGTTCCTCTTTTCCGAGAAGGCTGATTTACATAAGGCGGTTTCCAAATCGTCGTGGATCTTCGATAATTTCATGGTGGTGCTGGCGCGGTGGGTGAATCCTTCTCCAGCGGTGGCCGACAGTCTTCGCTGGGCTCCAATGGTGGTCCAAATCTGGAAAGTGCCGTTCGACTGCTTTACGGAGAAAATCGCCTGTCGGTTGGGGTAATCCCTGGGGGTACTCAATGACCCGCCCTCGCTTCATCGGTCTGATGTCTCGGGTGGTCTCTATGTCCGGGCTGCTCCAGTCCTCGACCTTACTGCCCCTCTGCCGGATGTGATTCCTGCTGGGCACGTCGATCCGACCCGAGGTAATTTTGTGGCCTCCGTTAAGTTTGAAAAGGTTCCTCACTTCTGCTTTCTTTGTGGTGTGATTGGTCACATTGGGGAGAGCTGCCCTCGCAAGGAGGCTTTTGCTGGTGTTACTCCGAAATATTGGGTGTTCTCGGTGGCAACGGAATCGGGACCACCAGTCACGGAGGATACTCTGTCCAGGCGGCGTCGGCGGTTCACATGGATCCGGGCAGCCAAAAATCGCACAGCGGGCTCGAAGAATGGGGGCAGTTTCAAGGAACCCCTTCCCCGACAGCCTCTTCCTCAACTGCAGGGCCCTCTGGTGGGTGAAGCTGATGGTGAATGGAGGGATATCCGGCGCCCTTCCCCGAGATTCATGGGGACCAACTTCCAAGCTTTGTCAATTATTCCGTCGACTACGGTACCTAGGGATGCAGCAGCAACTCCATTGGCGGAAGATACTCTTATGGAAGATGGTGTTGTCCCCAACTCGACTTCCCCTGCGGCCAAGCGAGTTCGCTCTGATCCACCGGACTCGGATTCGTGCTCCCCCATTGATGTTTCGGCGGTGGCATCCAGCCTCAATTGGGCCCACCCTGCCCCATGAGCTTTATGGTGTGGAATTGTCGGGGGATGGGCTCCCCTTTGACAGTTCCCTCACTCGGTGGAGCCGTTGCACGATTCTCACCTAACCTCGTTTTTCTCAGTGAAACCAAAAGGGAAGATGATTTTGTTAAGGCCAAGTTTGCTAGTATGGGGTTCAGATCTGTTCGTTGTTTTAGTGCGATTAATGGTTGTGGTGGGTTAGCTATAGGGTGGGTTGATCATGTTTCTTGTACAGTGCATCAGATTTCTGCTTTCCATTGCTTTGTGGAGTGTGTCGTTCCGGCTATCGGAACACTTGGTATTATCTTTGTACATATGTCGTGTGTGGCTGCGGAGCGCCAATCTCAGTTTAATGAATTAGTACCTTTGGTCTCGTCTGTTCCCTTCCCCTCATTTGTTGTGGGGGACTTTAATTGCCTTCTTTCTGCTTCTGAAAAATTGGGGGGGAATGTTCCTTCCTTTGCTGCCCTGGATCAACTTAATGCTTTTATGTTGTCTACTGGACTCTTTGATTTAGGTTTCCAGGGGTCGCCGTTCACCTGGTCGAATCGGCGGGCAGGTGGGGAGCATATCTTAGAGCGATTGGATAGACGTCTCGGTAATGCATCGGCGTTGGCAGAATGGGCAGACCTGAAGGTAATTCACCTTACCGATTTGGGCTCTGACCATAGGATGCTCCTTGTATAGCTAACTAAACAAGGACATCACCGGCATACTCGGTTCCATTTCGATGGGCGATGGAATTCCAATGCTGAGGCGATGGAGATAATTCAAAGGGCGTGGTCCAAACCTCTGCGTGGGACAGCTCAATTCCGCGCCTTTAATCAGCTCAAAACAGTCCGCCACGACCTGGTGGAATGGGAAAGGTTAGGTACTTCAAATTCAGCCCGTCGGATCAGGGAGCTCCGAACTGCCATCGAGGATCTCCGCGAGTCAGCACAGGTAGATTGGGATGCTATTCGCTTGCTTGAACGGGAGCTGTCATCTGCCTACATTGAGGAAGAGAGCTTTTGGCGGCAGAAATCGAGAGTTGGTTGGCTCCGGGAAGGGGATGCCAACACCAAGCTCTTCCATCGCACGGTATTGCAGCGGCGACGGTTTAATCGGCTGCGAGGGCTTAAAGATGAGACAGGAACTCTGCAACATGAAGAGGAGGCCATGGCAGGTATTGCTATACCATTTTATCAATCTATCTTTTCTTCTAACAATGTGGATGCCTCCTCGTATGTGGATTCTTTAGGTATTTGCATCAGGGTCACTAGAGAGATGAATGAAGCTTTGATTGCTCCAGTTTCTCCCCTGGAAGTCAAGGAAGCTGTGTTCCGGATTGGCAGTCATCAGGCCCCTGGTTCAGATGGGTTCACAGCTGCTTTCTTTCAAGTTCATTGGGAGGTAGTGGGTTCATTGATCACAGATGCAGTCCTCAGTTTCTTTAGGTCTGGTTGGCTCCTGCACAACTTTAATCACACGCTGATTTCCTTACTGCCGAAGGTGCCGAATGCTGAGTCCATGCGCCAAATCCGTCCCATTGGGTTGTGTCAGGTATTTTACAAAATTATTGCTAAACTTTTGGCAGCTAGGCTCAGTGTGATTTTGCCTGAAGTGGTAAGCTCTACTCAAAATGGCTTTGTGCGTGGTAGATTGATTACTGATAATATTCTGATTGGGCAAGAGGTTATGCAATTCCTGAAAACTAAAGTGCAGGGCCGGGATAAGTGGATGGCACTTAAATTGGACATGGAGAAAGCTTATGACCGGGTTGAATGGTCATTTTTGTTGCTGATTTTGGAACGGTTGGGGTTCTGTCTTGAGTGGCGCCGCTGGGTCACTGCTTGTATTTCCTCGGTTTCTTTTTCGGTTTTGATTAATGGTCATCCCCACGGGTATTTTAAGCCGCAGCGGGGTCTGCGTCAAGGTGACCCCCTTTCGCCCCTTCTCTATGCAATTTATACTGAAGCCTTTTCGGCAAAACTGTCTAGTGAGATTATGGCGGTGAATTTGCATGGTTTGCGGGTGCATAGGCATGCGCCTTTGACTTCCCATCTTTTGTTTGCCGATGATACTTACTTGTTCCTGAGAGCCTCATTGCGGGAATGTGCTAATTTACTGTCTTTGTTGGATGAGCTAGAGAGGGTTAGTGGGCAAAAAGTTAATCTGTCTAAGTCTTCGATGTGTGTTAGTGCTAATGTTTCTGACCAGGAACGGCTGGCGTTGGGATCCTTTCTGGGGGTGGCGGATTCCACTTTGGCTGACAAATATTTAGGGCTGCCGATCCATGTGCAAAGATCCAAGACTCAGACTTTTAGGTTTGTTGAGGAGGGACTAGCTGCTAGGATCAGGTCGTGGAAATCTAAGGCGATGTCTCTGGCTGCGAATGAAACGGTGATCAAATCTATTGGTTCGGCTTCCTCGATATATACTATGTCTGCTTTTCGTTTGCCTTCTTTCACATGTCGCAGGTTAAATGGCCAGTTATCCCGGTTTTGGTGGGCGGATCAGGATAAAGATGATGGAATACACTTGCTATCATGGCAGGAGGTGTGCCTTAGCAAGTTTGCAGGGGGGCTTGGCTTTCGGGATTTCGAACGATTCAACATCGCTCTCCTGGCAAAGCAGGCTTGGCGGGTACTGATGAATCCAGATTCCACGTTGGCGTCGCTGTACCGGGCGAGATATCATCCGCATACATCGTTCTTGGAGGCGACACCGGGTCCGAGACCATCTTGGGCTTGGCAGGGCATGCTGGCCGGGAGGGATCTTCTAATTCGGGGCCTTCGCTGGCGGATCGGGGATGGAACTACTGTCCAAGTTTTAGCAGATAAGTGGCTCCCCTCTAATCCTCCCTCCATTCCTTTGCTGCAGCCGCATATAAACTTTTGCCCTGTATTGGTTTCTGAACTCATTTGCCCATTTTCCCGGTCCTGGAACGTGGACCTTCTAACCAGCCTGTTCTTGCCTGAGTCAGTGTCATTAATTCTTTCTATCCCGCTTCTTTTGCAGGCCTCCCCAGATAAGCTCATTTGGCATCACTCCCCGACCGGGGAATACACGGTAAAAACCGGTTACCACGTTCTCACTGACGAGCTGCTCTCTGTGCATCCTCCTGCTCCATTGCCTTATGATTGCAGGTTCTGGAAGGTACTGTGGAGTTTACCGCTACCGCCTAAACTGAAGTTCTTTTGGTGGCGGGTGGTCCGCGGCTTCCTTCCCGTGCGAGCGGTACTACAAGTCAAGCGGCTAGTCACGGATAATACGTGTCCGATTTGTTCTGAAGGTGCCGAAACCATTGGACACTCCTTCCTTCATTGCCGGGTAGCCGTGGAGCTCTGGGCGATGGCTGGGTTGGGGAATTTGAGAAGACGGTTGGAAGGTTTGTCGCATTTGAATTGCTGGCAGGTTTTGTTCTTTTCTTGTCACCTTTCGAAAACGGAGATTGCTGATGTAGTTTTCCTGTGTTGGCGAGTGTGGAAATCTCGCTGCTGGGCACTTCATAAGCACATCCAATACATGGGGCAGGCCCTGTTTCGCCAGTTCCGGGCGCAGGTCGATGAGTGGCAGCTTGCGTCTGCGCCGTTGACGCTTCACAGGGGTGGTGGGGGAGCTCGTCGGGCACGGATGGGAGCTACACAGGAAGCACGAAACCTGGTTCCCGCCGGGGTTTGCCCAGCAGATGGTGTCCTGGTCCGCTTTGATGGAGCTTGGAAGAAGGATGCGGGTGTTGGCATAGGTTTTGTCGGCTTCTCCAACAACGGACAGCTGGTATTCGCGTTCGGGAGGCATTATCCAGGTGTGTCGGATCCTTTTATTTCGGAGTTATTAGCTCTTCGTGATGCGGTTAACTGGTGTGTCTTGCATGGATTTGGTTCGGTCAATTTTTGTGGAGATTGCCAGCTTTTGATCCGCAGGATACGGACGAGGGAGGTGAACCATGGAATGGGAGGTGCGCTCTTGGAGGAGGTCTGCTCGGCGTCTGCGTTGTTTAGCTTTTTTTACTGTAATTTTACGCCGCGGTTGTACAACAGGGCTGCCCATTTAGTGGCTTCTAATGCCCTTTCATCGACAGTTCGGCTACTGGTCGACTGTCGCGTGTGTTTGTCAAGTGTCATGTAATATCTATAACTATCCCTATCTATGCCAAAAAAAAAAACTAAATTAATTATTATAATTAAATTAAAATAATCAAAATATGAATAGCAATATATCAAACCGTTAACAAATACGTACATGAGATGTTCGTAATGAGTTTCAGTTGAGAGATGTTCGTAACGAGACTCGAGGGGACTGCGGTGGTACCACTACCAACATGCGTTCTATCCATCCATGCAGCATATCACTTTCAAGAATACCCAAAAGAAGCCACAGAAACGCATAAACATAAGTGCAGAATGAAAAACTCCAAGACACGATTAAAGATCATCTGAAGTTCTGCATATCACTACCAATTACCAGGTTAAACAAAAATGATTCCGTTCTCCTTAATGGTGTCGATAACAATCCCAAGCTTGCCCTCAATCCTCTCGTTCTTTCTCGGTTCGTAAGACATTACATATACATCGGCTTCTTTTGATCTCTCTGCTATAAGCTCACCAATAAGTCTGCAGGCACTGTGATCCGTAAGGGAGGGTAAACTATTCCTAAGGTCCTTGGAGTTTGTGGTAGCAACAGATATTACTTTGCTTGTCCCCCGGTGCATCACTTTGGCATGGACAAATCTCTTCGAAAAGAAAACGTTTAGTAAGAAGGGCCTCATGTACATGTCAGTCCTCTGTTTCCATGACTTCTTGTTTGGTTGCTTTGCCAGCTCACCACGAGATCTCCTGGTCCACGCAGCTCGAACGAAAGGACTGCGCGAATTCTGCAACACGAGAGGGCTTTATAATGCAAAATACATGGCTGAAATTTGAGTGTATCTTGTCCTAGCAAACAGGAATTCAGTAGATGACAGAAAAGATGAATGAAACGTAATCAACTGGCAACAACAACGGTCAAGAGGAAGGGGAACAACATACCACAACACCAGTATCCTAGGATGCCTAACAGTAACAGTACTGAAATGCATAGCAAGAAAAGTTATGTTCCTCAATGAAAGTTGAGAAACTAGTCTCTTCATGGGGACACACACTAATCCTGCTTAAAGCACTTGTTAATCAAGGGGAGTTGTGCACTTAATAAACAATGTTGCTTACAATATCTCTTGTTCAGCAGAATTGGTTCAACAAAAGGTCCCAACACACTCCAAACCTTACTAAGCCGACGTGCTGCGTAGAAGACGTGCAAACAGGAATATCGACTTCTTACGGATAACAGTCATCCCTCATCATATTGGACAAAGCTTGCAAGACAGGAACAGCTGAGAGACAGCTTCAAGCTACTAAATGAATAGAATGATTTGAACTACCATCTAAAGCTCATTGGCAAAGTGGAATCTAGAATTGAAATTGCAAGATTAATTCAAGTCTCAAGTCCCCTGGACACAGTTCATCAATGACCATCATCAGATATTCTATCATTAACAGTTCCTTACCAGAATCCAGCAATGGAGGAACAAGTTTTTGGATAGGGCTTAAGAAATAAAAATAAGGGCTCGTTACATACATCCAGGGTTGCCACAACAGTTCAACCCTGTTAGATAAATTGAAAGCTTAGGATGAACCCCCGAGTCTAGATTGCCGAACTGTGTCGCGGAGTTCCCCAATTATGCTCAACAACCAGGAAAAATCAAACCGTGCAAATATCCCCAAAGCATCACTGCTACGCGGAAGCGCAGGTTCGAATTTAAACTAGGAAAAAGCAGAGAACAACCAACTTCCCCAGAATCTTAGTCCTAGCATTCTTATTTATAGCATAGCAGGAGTAGAAATTGTGTACCTTGTTATTGGAAGAAGGCGAAGGTTGTACCAGTGGTTCGCTACCGACGGACAAGTTGAGAGTAGGAAACGAAGAAACCCAGGAGAGGGAAATGGGTTTGAGCCGGCCAGCAGATGTATGCAGCGACAAGTCGGCAGAGATCACCGGTGAGGCTACCGGTGGAAAGGCACAGGCAGATATAACCCACGACATCCAGTCTTTGTGGAGTAGATAGTAGATACTAGACAGAGACGCCGCCGCTAAGTGTTTTTAAGGGGGATTTGTCCGGTGACTCCAGTGGTCCAGTGAAACGCGAGTAAGTGAGTGTTCTCTTAGGGTCGTTTGGATTAAGAATTTAGCTAATGAAGGATTTGGCTCACAATCACTCAATTAAAAACCTCAGTATTTTAAATTCAGGTTTTGGCCCAAATAATGTGTTTGTTTACAGATAAGGAATTTGGGCCCTATTTGGCTAAAGTCAATTTTGCCCTTTATCCTTCCCTTTCCTCTTTCATTGTATCCGGCGCAAATCACCAACGCCATTAGTCATCATCGTTCACGGAGGAGGCATCCACCTGCTGCAAGGATCGTCGTCTTCACCCTCCGACGAAAATCAAGCCGCCATCAATAACCCATTCTCGTCTCTCAATTCGTCGTCGTCTTCGCCCTCCGCCCCTGTCTTACATGTTCCGGATCGAAACTACCCACAAACGTAGATCTAACTTCCATCTTCCAATCATAAACTATGATTATCGTGTGGCAGAGACTGGCTTCGAGCGAGATCGAGATGGATGAAGCGGAATCCTGAGTATTTCGCTGGGTCAAGTTTTTCAAACTCTTTATTGCCATCACTCTGTTTTCTTGTATCTTTGCGTTCGGAACTAGATTAGGGGGAGAATCATATCATGGCTTGGGAGTTGGAACTGGGTCGATGATGTCTTGGCGCTGGCGATTTCAGAGATTGGGGGATTCGGGGCTGGAGTGACAGGTTGAGCAGATCTGGTATTCGGAGGTGCTCCTCCTCCTCTCCGCAGCCGGAGTGAGAATCACATCCGGAGGACCCAGAGAGAGGAAGAGAAAAGGAATGGCGGTGAAGCGCTTCAATGCGGCTACCGATGCTGATTCGATCGGGAAGGCGACTTCTCTTCATCGTCGATGAAGCCCATCATTTGGCGATCTGCCTCTCTTCTTTCCAAATTCGGCGGCGGCGGCGAAAGATTGCTTTGGTGAGGCCTACTCCGGCTAGGTTGACTAGGTCGCCGTTGGGATATCGACTCCAGCAGGAGATTCTGGTCGGGGAAGAAGGGTCGAGGAAGAAGGGAGAGCAATCGATGACAAGTTGGGGACACGCTGGGATTAAAAAAATAACTGGGGCCGGATTTTAAAATACCTGGGGGGTGACAGCTAATTCCAATTCCGGATTGGGCAAGATTTGAAAATTCTGGAGGCCTAAATCTCGGCAGTTGTAAGAGCTATCCAAACAAGGATATTAGTTAAAATCCTAGAAGGGCCAGAATTTGGGCAAAATCCCTGCCCAATTTCCCTGATCCAAACGACCCCTTAAAATATTTTAAATGGGGTTTTGATAATAAAAAAAGAAAGAGTTGAGAGATTTGGTGGGATGAGGGTTAATGGTATGACAGTTTTAGTTTCGTTTAGTTTGAATGTATGAAAAAGTCATTCTATTATTGGTAAAGATTGTTATATAGAAATTAATATATGAAAGTTTAGATTGTAATTTACTATTTATTAGTGGCTCTCACACTCCTCCAAGTACAGGTAGGGGAGTTCCAACTCTCAATTCTACAACCTTTTGTTGAGCATGATCACACATCGATTTTTTTTTCTTTCAGTTATTCTTTTACCCTTTTCTATAATAACAAAACGGATTCTTCCAATATATAAAAAAAAATTCCAAGGGCTTTTGCTACTATAACCTTCCCAACCACGATTTTTTTCTAAGCATTTCGCCTCGAAATAATAAAATTGCATTGATACTAGTACTAGGTATCAAAGTAAATATAAATGGATAAAGAAATTGTGGGTTCCATCGTTTCTATGGTTTCTTATTAAACGGTGAGGTCTTCTCTATACACCGGAGCTCCTTCTTTCATTTAATCAATGCTATTGTTAAGTTGTACAGTTCACACTCTTTGGCTCTACCCCTGAATTATCCAGTAATAGGTCTTTCATAACGAGATCGATCTATACAGTAACGGTATTTAATTATGAAGATTAGCTAATTAGCGGGCCCTCTAAGTCCGTTCTTGCAAGAGCAGTGCCAATTTTCGGCCTTTTAATTTAAATAGGATTTTCCCCGGCTTAATGGATAATCCTTTATTATCAATGGGGAATTTTTTCTCATTTGAAATTTAAAATTGAGGTGATTGAATTTATACCGATGGAAACCATAAATGGGATACACAATACAAGGATAGAATAGATCTTTTTTTTAGATATTTTTTTTTAGATATTGAAGAAGGTTCCCCCTTTCTAATACTATTTATCCTTATCCGACCCGATCACGAATAGTGTAAAATCGGTTTCCTCTCTCTTGTCCCAGCTCATGATCTAAACGAGTCGCACATACACCCTAGTACATGTTCCTCGGCGCTGAGGGCATCCCCTAAGAGCGGGGGATTTTGTGAGATTTCTGATTGGCTGTCTTGTGTTTCTAATAAGTTGTTTAATAGTTGGCATGTTGAATTGTATGTATAATAAGTCGGTTTAGATCGATCCTAACCGAATGATTATTATGAATTCCTTCTTTCTATTAAAATACTGTCGGCGAAATTCTAAGTTGTTCCCTACCACCGATTCCCAAGACCGCTACCACAAGTTTTATTTCGGGATCGAGTTTCATCCTGTTTAGTGTTATTTTCTTTTTCCTTTTTGTTGAGCATTATCATAATTGAACCCAAACACATGAGTGTTCGCTAGGTTTAAATCTATTGTCCATTGTGTTTCCCATAACAATTATTGCCTACTAGGTTTTCAACTCGCTATTGCAGGAACCAATGTAGTCAAAAGCGAGTTTCTACGTAGAAATGTTTTGGTGATCTAGAAGGTTAAAATCATAAGTTTTTATGTTTTAAAGCGGAGTTTTTAACTACATAAGTTATAAAAACTGAAATTTTGTGTAGAAGCGTCTTAGTGAACTAGAAACGTAAAATTGTAAGTTTTTAAGTTTTAAAGCGTGATTTTGACTACATTGCCAACAACTATCCACTTTTCACAACATTTCGTAATCCGACTCGAAACACTGTCGGTGGAATCCTGAGTTGCTCTCTTACACCGTATGCCATGGTCGCGACCAAAGACAATACTAGATATGCTCTGTCCAATCATCAACAATGCTCACCAATTCACAACCTTCTCTAAGCACCGTCAACGCAATCCTAAGTTGTCCCCTTCCACCGTTTTCCAATGATGCTACCATATCTACTCAATGTTGGTGAGTTTCGTAAAAGGACCGGTTTCGTTCGCTTTAGTGTTTTTCTTTTACTTTTCCCTTTTTGTTGAGCATGATCACAATTGAATCCAAATCCATGGGTATCCAATCTAATTCAATCCGGTCAAAGCGACTTGAAACCGATTTTAGCATTTATAAATTTCTCTTTTTTTTTCCTTTTGGTTGGAAAAAAATTGAACCTGAATCTAAGGTATTGACGAGTGTTGTATTGTGAGCGAGCTTTATCCGCTTTTGTAGGTGGCAGGTTGGACCAAGTGTTAATTTGTTAAAAAATTGTTCAAAGTGAGTTGAACACGTTAACGGTAGGGATGTTCAACTATTATTTCTGGTGACTAGGGAGTTCAGAACGCCTTGATCAGTTTTTCTGGAGAACGACACATCCCTCTAGGCATTGACTCAAGAGGGCCTTGACTTCTTTAGTTGAGATTCAAGGTCTAGTCAAGGATTCTCCGCATTGTGAATGAAAGTGAAACAAGTTAGAGATCATCAATCATTAATCTGGCTAGTGACTAGGGGGAATCATACCTAAGTGTGTTCCCAACCTATAATAGTCTAACCTAGTTTAACTTGTAAAGTAGTTTAGTTAATCGGACCTCAATATGATTTGCTAGATAATGAACGGAAGCTGAGTAATAGTACATCTAGAGACCCGAGGATTCGATATTTATTACTTGGACCACTATACTGCAGTCCATTTCATTGGTTACACTTGGTCCTTGTTAGGAGTTGTGTTTTAGCGAGTCACTCCCCCTTCTTTCTTTTCGCATAAATTTAAGCACCAAAAATTTCTCTTCTTTTTCTCCCAAAAAGTTGAAAACACCAAAAAATTTCACTTCCTTCTTTTCCTATAAATCAAAGTATCCAAACTCTCCCTTATTTCTTTCTCTTCTTTCATTTATTAAAAATACATAATTTCAACTCAATATCATTTTTTGAAACTTTCCTTTATAAAATGAAAAACTAGTTTTACTTAGTCTTACAACAAACAAAGTTTATTTGAAAATTTATATAATATACAATATAGTAATTATTCGGGTCAATCGGACGGGTTACGGGTTAGTCAGGTTCGGGCCAATCGGGTTTGGGTCAATCGGGTTCGGGTTAATCGAGTTGAGATTTATTCGGGTTATGGGTTAATCGGGTCACTGGTCAATCGGGTTGCGGGTTTGGCGGGTTGCGGGACATTGACTTTTAGTCAATTTGGGTTGCTGGTCGGGTTAGTCGGGTCGATTTCTATTTTGACACCTATAACGGTAACTCTACCTAAGCAGGATTGGCAGACCCAACTTCTAGGTTCAAGGAGCAAACAAAGTTGTGAATGATGGTCCGACATTGTCAAATTATTCAAAGTCCATTCTCAGGATGCGACAATGTCCAAAATAAGGGTAAACCTAAATATGAAAGGTTTTAATGGTTTCTAAGTTTGACACGTGATGTGATCAAATAGTGTATTTTTGGAATACATGTTTAGAAATCACCTATGTGAGTGTGAAGTGGAGCCGCTTAAAGGAAAATAAAAGAAGGTATGTTCTCTTAGCACTCATGAGAGCAGGCGGTGTTCATTGCTTAAACGAACACAACTATGAGAACCAGTGAACATATAAGAGTTAGTTGTGTGACATATGTTGTCTTAGTATACAAGCAAAACCGACGGTTCAAAGATATCACATCTACCAGTTGGTGACTTTACTTGATATATGTTCACTAAGGAAGGTTCAAAGGGAAACCCACATATCCCCATGCAACTAATTCTTAGTAAAAAATCAAACAGTTTTTGCATAGTTTTCAAAACTTAGCATTCAGTTTTCATGTGGGGGATTGTTGGGATGTTGAATGGTGTGAATGAGAATGAAATGTGAATGAGCCAAGAGAAGCTCTTGAAATACCATATTGGTTATATATGGGAAGGAGTCCTTAGATTCGGTTAATTGATTTGATTAAATGTTTTGGTAATTGGTGAAATTGGTTTGTGTAAACAACCAGACCAACTGATTTGAACCAAACCAATGTGGCGGTAGGAGTGAACCAACCGGTCCAACCAACATGGGCCGAACCGATGTAATGGTTTATAATTTTAAAACGAACCAATGCGTTGGTTGGGTTGTAATCACCCATCCGAAGGGTCACATCCATTCATAAACTAAAAATAACACCTATCCCCTATGCCAAAGCCCAAATTTTAATTTTTTTGCATTGTTTTCAAAAGAAAAATCGAGTCAAGTGTGGTTCTCGTCCTCTTTCTGCGTTCTTTGATTTTCGGGGTTTGAGGTACCGCTACGCCAGAAAGGTATGTCCTTTCTATCATGGGAGGAATGATTCCATAACCTTGGATTCTAGAGGGGGAATAAGATTTCTTAATGAGAGACAGTGTATTATGTCTGCTAGGACGTTGTATATGTGTTTGCACGATTCCATGATCTAGGCATGAAGTTCTCGCATTTGAATTAGAACAAGAAGGAGAGGAATGGGGAAGTAGACAGGACGATGCACCCCGGCGGGGGAATAGCCTTTGACCTCTCTGCTTCTTACGGAAATATCGTAATAGAAGAAAGAGTCGACTTCCTACCTCACCGACAAGTTTTAAATCTTAATACAGTCAAGACAAAGGGAGACATTAATATGTGACTGTCAATTATCCCTCCTGGAAACTCAACAACTGCATAATGTCATGCTTGCACTGATCTGAGGTCCCACTACTTTATGTTGATTTTCACAATTTCGTTTGTTACTTGTGTTACAAAATTTAGTATAACGTAAACAATTTGCACCGTCCCTTTATCTCTTTTAACTATATATAAGCAAGAGGACCGGATTGACAACCTCGTAGCCCTTAATTTATTCCAAGAATAGAGAATATAAATTCATAAAATGGTTGGAAATTGGCAATTGGAATCAAACAAGGAATGAATGTGTGAGCAAGAAGAAGAAGCCAAAAGAAGAGGCGAGCGAGAAAAGACAGAGCGATGCAGTAGTTGTAGTTCACGGGCATGCTTTCATTAATTAATTAATTCATTAATTGTACCCCCATTGCCCATTTCTCCACACTCCTCTTTTCCCCCACCGTCAGCACCGCCAAATCCAATCCAACCCACAATTCCTTCTCTCTCTCTCGACAAATATGTGCTACTCATCGTCGTGGGTTTCTGGTTGGCGGCGAGCGTTGGTGGCGGCATTGGTGGCGGCGGCGTTTTGTGTTGGAACAGGAACAGGAACAGCAGTGAATGTGGTGTCGAAGGTGGAGGATGCAGCTAACTTCCACATCTACTACGGCCAGACCTTCAAAGTCATCAAGAATGTCATTGACGCCAAGAGCTACCTTCTCATCCAGGTCCCCCCAACCATTTCATTTCACTAATTAGATTTATCCATCAGCTAATTAAGTAATTGGTCAGATCAGATCAGATCAGATTGGAGTATAATTTATAGTTTCTTTTTCTTGGGTTGGGTTGGGTGGACAGAATAACTCGAGGATGGCGGCTACGAGGACAAAGTACTGCACCCAAAGGATCCGATCTTTTGTGGTTCCTTTCTCAAACTTCTCCGCTGATACTTACTTCTTCCCTGGTAACTACTTACTGCTCGATCTTGCCCAAATTCCAAATCATCAACAACAACTAATTATATTTATATATATATATATTGATCTCATTTAGACCAACCTCGACATCATAAATCGTTCTATCTTCTTCTCATCACTTTCATATCTTTTTTGTTTTGCTTTTGCAGTATCCTATTTCGAGGTAAAGTTATTCAAAAGTTCCAGTAAGCTGCTTTCCTCCAATAAGTTTTTTTTGTTCACTAGCTGCTGCATGCTCCTTTCGCTATATATGCACTCATACTCTACAAAAAAGCCTTTTGTCTACGGAAAAATTCTCATGGTGCATAGGTGATCTGTATTCTGTACTATAAAAATAATGATTGGTTTATTATGATAAGATGACTCAGGATAGCCAATTAGTCATATCGTATAAGTCTAGAACAAAGTTTAATGTAAATAATAATACCTTGGGTACCAAATTGATAAGTAATTAAACATATGATTTATAATAGTAAATAACATGCATTTTGAGATTGTTTGACTGATATTATATTGAAGACGAGATGAAGTTATAACATATTAAATTTTGTCATGAGATTGTTTGACTGATATTATGTTGAAGATGAGATAACTCATGACAGGTTCCAAATCTAATAGATTCAATTAGTCATT